TAAATCTACTTAACATCTGTTGCCATACATAGGTACAAAATTCTTTCTTGTGATGAGAATTTTTAAGATGTACTCTCTTAGCAACTTTCAAATATTCAGGATAGAATTATTATTATTATTATTATTATTATTAATAGGAAGGCTTATATAACCTGTGTTTTAAATGAGTCCTGAAAACTTTAGGCCACAAAAGTATGCAAATTCCTCTTTTTATTTCTTTCCCTTGCAAGTGGAAGCATTGCTAAGGGCTAAGAAGCTACTGGGGTCTGGCAGGCAAAAGCATGCTTGGAGAATGAGAAAGTGGCAATGAGGCCAAGGGTCAAGTAGGGGGAAGGACAGAGAAGGTGGCCAAGATGATCATAGGGTTGGGGGAACTGAGCAAACAAATAAGTACATTAGAGATAGTGGGAACAAATTTACAATTTTGGAAAATAAGAAGGCTAGACAATCCCTTGAGGTTTTGGATTTGTAGGTATTAATATAAACGTATTTTTTTATAATTAGTATAGTCAGACTTAGAAATAAATGTATATGTATTTATAAAAATGCACATGTGTGTATGAATATCTATGTTCTTTGTATTTGTGAATTCGTAGTGAAATTTAATGAAACATTCAGAAAAAGACACAGGAGAAGGGTAAAGTGAAAAACTGGATGCAGTAGTTATAGACAATTCTCAAATGCTTCTGACATAAAGAAGAACAGAAAAATGTAGGACTATCTGGAGGATGTTTGATGCAAATATTTGTTGTGTTTTAAATTGTAAGATATTCCAACATTTTTGCTGATGGGAACTGAGCATGCAAGAAGAGAAAATAATGAGGATACAGAGAGAAATATCAATTGCTAAACTAGATGACAGTTGAAGAATTTAGTGCACAAGTAGAGAGGCTGGCATTACTCAGATACCAAGGACTGTTCCTCTGCAGTAAAGGAAAATTCAGTTTTAAGGAGAGACATTTTTGTTGTTGACGGTGGAGAAGCTATTTTTTTTATTTGCAATTAAAAGAAATAGCAAAAATCCTTAAAGTACTCTTTCTAATTCCAGTACTCATATTTTTTAAAAACGTGTTGTTTAATTTTGGTACAGATAAAGATTTTAACTTCCAACACTTGTCTTAATATACTTGTATATTTAATATAAGCTAAAAGACACTTGATTCTAGCAATGTGGTTATGTAGATATTTTGAAAGACAGTCAACAAAGAGCAAGTAAGTTATGGATAAAATATACCATTTGGTGCATTCCTAGGCTTTCTAAAAATGGAAGGTGTCTCTACACTTCCAAAAATGGAAGAAAGAAAAAATTAGAGAGGCTGGCAAATTACAGCCTTCAGACCAAATCTGCATTTCTATTTGTTTTTGTAAATAAATTTTATTTTAACAAAGTGACACACTTATTCACTTGCGTGTTGTTGTCTCTGTCTCCCTTCAAGCTACAGTGACAGAGCTGAATAGTTGCAATGATGACCATATAGCCTGCAAGTTGGAAATATTTACTATCTGTACTTTTACAGAAAAAAAACAAAACACAAGAGTTGCAGGAAAGAAAGAACTTCAAAGAGTTTCTGTACGATTAGCTCCCATTTCCCCCTATTATTAACCTCTTATACTTCAATGGTACTTTCATTACATATTAATGAATTGAAGTTGATACATTATTATTCGCTAAAGGCTATTCTTTATTAGAATTCTGTAGATGTTAGTCAAATTCACATCTAGGGTACCACATTATATTTAGGAGTCATGTGTCTTTAGACTCCTCTTAACTATGACGAGATTCTCAGATTTTCTCTGTTCTTGATGATCTTGATAAAACAGGAGCCTTGGTCAGGTATTTTTGTATTGTTCTTCCTTCAATTTGGTTTTATCTGATTTTTACAATTTTTTTATTTTTTAAAGATTTTATTTATTTATTTATTTATTTATTTGACAGAGAGAGAGAGAGATCACAAGTAGGCAGAGAGGCAGGCAGAGACAGAGGGGGAAGTTGGCTCCCTGCTGAGAGAGAGCCCAATGTGGGGCTCGATCCCAGGACCCTGAGACCATGACCTGAGCCGAAGGCAGAGGCTTAACCCACTGAGCCACCCAGGCATCACTGATTTTTTTTAAGATTTTACTTATTTATTCATCATAGAGAGAGAGAGAGAGAAGTTGAGAAAGAGAGAGCATAAGCAGGGGGAGCAGCAGGCAGAGGGAGAAGCAGGTTTCCCACTGAGCAGGGATCCTGATGTGGGACTCAATCCCAGGATCCTGGGATCATGAGTTGAGTCAAAGGCAGATGATTAACCAACTGAGCCATCCAGGCATCCCTATCTGATGGTTTTTCTGTGGTTATACAATGGTTATAAGTTTTGGGGGAAAAGATCAGCAAGTTTAGAGACATTTTCATCATGTGCCAGAGGTATTTTCTATGAATGTGTCTTATCATTGAAGATGTTAACCCTGATCAACTAGTTGAGCTAGTATTTGCCAGGTTTCTCCACTGTAAAGTCACTCTCCCCTCCCCACTCTAGCCTTGACCCTTTCCATACTCTTTTGAAGTCATTATTGAATCCTATACTTAAGGGATGGAATGGGAGTTATACATAGCTAGAATTCTTCTGTATGGGATATTTATATATGTTCCTTCACATAACTATTTATTCAATTAATTTATATCAGCATGAATTTGTGGATATTCATTTTATACAGTGGGTTTTAATCTAGTACTATTTTATTTATTTTGTTGCCCAGATTGAATTCTCAGGTGTTTTAGCCATATAAAGGAACTCTATGCCATGGTTCAAGTTCTGTGCAGTTACAACTGTCATAAATAAATGCTTACTAAGCACTTTCTGGTCTTAACATGGTATCAATCAGTTAGTCAGTCCACAAGCATTAGTGCTTTTAAATATCTAGCACTTGTCTGAAGACATCATTCTAGAGATTTAATTATTGGGAAACCTTAAACACTAAGGTAACCAGAAATTTCTAACTTTCCAGGATGCGCAGAACCAAAGCTACAGTGGTTATACCTGCGGCCCCGCTACATGATGCTATCCAAGGCTCAGTTGTCTCCAGCTCACACAGACATGAAGCCCGGCTCAGGGAAGATGACAAAAAATCTCAGAGGGTTTGAAGTTCCTATCTGAATTTCAAACTAGATCCTAGTCTCTTTCTTTCTCCAAAAAAGTTACAAAGATTTCTGGACAAGCTATCGGGAAATGTGATTGATCTAAATTTCAGTCAGGCCAACTTGGAATACACTGGTTCACTAAAGAACTAAAGTCAGAGAGATACATGAGTTTATTCTTGTTTAGTTATACATTAGGCAACAGCCACTGTCAGTTCTACAAACTAGAAAATTAAAAAGCTTCTGTTATTATAAACTATAATGTTAAATGAAAAATAATCAGAAAATTTAAAAATTATTCCCTTCAGAGATTGAAATTCTACTTCTCATCCCACCCCAAACAAATCTTAACTGTTTTTGAGACTTTCCAATTTTTACATGATGTATAACTATGTTACACATTTTTTAAAAATAACTCTGATTCTGAAAAATCATAATTACTGAACAGAGTACTGAAAAATCCCAAGACTTTTCTCCAAGGTGTAAGAATACAAATCATATCAATTTATCCCTGGATTTGGCTTTTTAGCTTACTAACTAAAGATACAATATTCTACAAAAGGCACATAGTGAATTTTTCATGACCTTGTGTGTCTTCTAATTTAGAGAAAGGAAGCATTTAGTGTTATGATAAGCATAGTATAGAAAAGAAAATCACCAATAAGATATAGAAAAATAGGAGACATAAGCCAAAACAACATTGCTTAAATACAAAATAATAATTATTCTTCTCTTACTTTTGTTTTTGTTTTGTTTTACTGGCAAATATCACATTCTTTAATACTTTAGTTTACAGAGCTTACATTCCATACATTGCATATTGGACAGAAGGACCTCTACAGCATAAATGTTTCAGATTAGCTGAAGACATTCAAGCATAAATAGTACTCATTAGGATTATTTATACAACTGGAAATCAGTTCTGTTCTGCCCAAAATTTATATTAGACTAAGGTAAATTCCTAAGTGATTTTGCAGAAAATGAAAGAAAATCAAGAAGGAAATAATATTATAATTATGCCTCCAAATGTATTTATTCTTTAGTTTTTCTCCCACGGTCTTCAAAGTCCATGCAGAGTTATTAATATACATATTCATGCATATATGTGTATATAAATATATTCATATACTAAATATACTACTAAATGGAAGAAAGTAATCACAAAAATAATTTGGAATGCTTTGTTGTTTTAAATGAGACTCTGGCAATTCAAACTGTATGTGTGCTCCTACATCATACACATACATCATAGACTTGTAATAATTTATAGATTATAGATTTGTGTAATATTTGTAAAAGATAAGAAGAAAGAAAAAAGATTGTAATGCGGAAAAATCTTTTTATATGAATATCTCAATAATCATGTGAATCTGATCATGATCCTTCATATGACTTCTTTTTTTTCTTGTTAAGATTTTACTTATTTGACAGACAGAGATCACAAGAAGCAGAGAGGCAGGCAGAGAGAGAGGAGGAAGCAGACTCCCTGCTGAGCAGAGAGCCCGATGTGGGGCTTGATCCCAGGACCCTGAGATCATGACCTGAGCCGAAGGCAGAGGCCTTAACCCACTGAGCCATCCAGGCACCCCTCTCATATGACTTCTTTACCAATCTAATTTTTTTTTTTTTTTAAGAGAGAGAGCCAGCACGAGTTGGGGGAGGGGCAGAGGAAGAATGAGAGAGACTCTTAAGCAAGTCCCACACTCATCACAGACCTCGATGTTGGGCTTGATCTGACAACCCTGAGATGACAACTTGAGCCAAAATCAAGTCAGACACTTAACCAACTGAGCCACCCAGGCACCCCTCTACCAACCTAAACTTTGAAAAAAGTGAAGAATGATGAAAAGAAAGCTTTAATCTCATATATATTAAGAAACTCTTCTTAGATTTCAGTTCTTAACTTCAGTGTAGACCCCTTCATTTGCTGCTCATAATGTATATCAAATTTCTCATTCAGAGCTACCGTAAAGTGATTCTTCCAGTCTCCTGCAATCCCTATAACAAAAGAGAAAACAGTAAATATTATGTTTTCCAGCCAGAATCATGATGTTTTCTAATATTCATACTTTCATTAACACCTAATCAAATTTTATTCTTATAATCTTCAATTATAAAAATAAAATATATATATAAATAGTGTGTGAGTGTGTGTGTGTATACACACATATATATATTTGAGCTTGTAAAGAAAGATGTGTCCTGATTATTAACAAATAAACAAAACCCGGCAAATTTCTTTCTCTGACCCTTTTCTCTTTTGCTACTTTATTTAATTTTTCTTTCCCAATTCCCCCTGAAATGTTGGAGTTCTTAAGATGAGATCCATTTTTGCCACACTTCCAAGATATTAAATATCATCTTCGAAAGACAACTATCATATGATCTCCCTGATATGAGGAAGAGGAGATGCAACATGGGATGTTAAGGGGGTAGGAGAAGAATAAATGAAACAAGATGGGATTGGAAGGGAGACAAACCATAAGTGACTCTCAATCTCACAAAACAAACTGAGGGTTGATGGGGGGAGGGGGGTTGGGAGGGGGGGTGGGGTTATGGACATTGGGGAGGGTATGTGCTATGGTGAGTGCTGTGAAGTGTGTAAACCTGGCGATTCACAGACCTGTACCCCTGGGGATAAAAATATATGTTTATAAAAAATAAAATTAAAAAAATAATAATAATAATAATAAATACGAAAGAAAAATATATCATCTTCATACTAACACTCAAATCCAGGCTTATGTATCCATAGCCCGTTGCCTCCTGGATTCCATAAGAGTATCTCAGATTCAACTAGTTCAACTAGTCCAACTAGTTTTCTTCTCCACCAAATTGTGGGTTTTTCATGTGTACTTTCCCATAACCTGATTAATAGCAGCACCAGGTATCCAAAGCATAAATTTGGAAGTTGTCCCTCAACCACAATATTTGATTTTATACTCATATTCAGACTCTCTTCATATCCATTTCTTCCATTCCATTTTTGCTGCCACTGACAGATAAGCTTCTCAGCATCTCCTACCTTGTGTTATTGCAAGACTAGCAGGTCCTTTTCTTTTGAATTCCAACATATCCAACGTTCCCCCAGCAGAAGGAGTATCTTAAGTTAGTAGTTTCCTTACCCCCTTAGTTAAAGGAGCTCTAAACTTTCCCAGTGAAGTAACCCCAAAAGAGAGAAAATCTGTGTCTTCAGAATTAGGTAGGGTCTAAGTGTATAGCACTACGCAGCCCTTTACAAGCATGACAACTATTTTAAGTCCATTAGTCTTAAAAATCCATGTGGGCCTTATGAAAAAGAAGACTGAGATCATCTGAGAACTAGACAATTAAAACATAATCCATACATTAACTCGCTTTTGGGGGCTTTCTGGTGGTGTCAGTAGCAGGTTTGTTATTCTTATCATCTTCAAAATTCCTGGCTCTGTCACTGAAAGTTCAGTTCAAAGGGCAAGATTTTCTCTATTCTGTTTCTGCTTCACATATTAGTAGACTGATGTCCCAGGAGTCTACATATTCTACATGCCTTTGGATTTATAAACTGATCACAGCTCCTCAGATCATTCCTCCTCCCAATAAAATGTCACCTCATTGTATTTTGATATTTTGCCAAACAAAGCTATATTTGGCAGCAAGTGCTTTGAAACTTAATCTTTTCAAACAGCTTTAATGAGGTTAACTGATCTACAAAGAACCGTACGTATTCGTATAGCTTGATGAGTTTGGGTATTTGGCACTTAGTTTTGAAAAATGTTTGCCGCTTGGTCAAGGAAAAGGTAATTGTTCTAGGCTTTTTTCCTCATCTCAAGGTGAGATAATTATAGTTTTCTTTTGAGTTTCTTACTTGAATTTGAAGAGAATAAGAATTTTAAAATTATATACATTTATATAACATACATGGTATAACACCAAGGCACACAGGCTTTATAAATGACAGTAGCGTGTGGTATTAGCGCTGATGGTGAGGCTTGGGTGGTTGTTGACAATTCTTAGCATGCTCCATATACTAAGTAATCAGCAAATAGTAGCAATTTAGCAGCAGCAGCAGCAGCCGCAGTAGTAGTAGTAGTAACACTACTATTTTAATCTCACTACAGAACTGGTAACTCAGGAAAAATATTGCTCAAATGTGAGACAGCTTTGAAGAAAACAAGCTGGGTCCACAGGCAAGAATAGACTTCAATAGATGTTTGCCTATAACTCGTTCAACTTGCCACTTTGTAGAGCAATCGAGGCAAATTACATGACTCTCTCACCCTTTCTCATGAAGGGAGAAATTTTTTGGTTCATGACTTCATCTGGTAGTGTTGTATAATTGGTAGATGGATTGTTCTTCATCTCCTGGAATGAAGTGTGTTGTACAATCTTGTCCACAAGCTCCTCTGACGGCTGTCTTCCCAGAAATTGTATCACTTTTATCACCTCCTTTCTGATATCCTAGGAAGAGAAAACATTTTGAGGACTCAATTACTAAAGTTAAATTCATTACTATTTAGATTAAGAGAGAGAGAGAGAGAAATTCTTCCCTTTTGTCCCCACTGGTATTGGAATTAGACTTTTAATGAAGAAAAACACTTCCTGGAGAAGTGGTATTTTTTTAACTTCTCTAAGCATAATTGCCCTTATCCATAAAATGGACATAAAAGTTGCTTCAAAGATTGTTATAATACTAAATGAGATGACGTTTATAAAATATTTATTGTAGACTTTGATGCTTAGTACATGCTCAATAACTATTATCTACGAGTATGAATATATACTCTCAAAGACTAGAGTCCCCTGTGAAAGATTAAATTTGGGGTTGAAAATATGTACATAGTTTTACTTTTCTCTTCTAATTTATTGATGTACATACCAAGAAACAAAGTAACCAAAAAGATTAAGAAAAGGTATAAAAACTCAAATATCCAACATGGAACATCAGATGTATATGAACCATAGCTCAAGCATCCCCACCCCTACACGTCATTTCTGTAGTGTACCCTATTATCCAGATAAACCACTCATACAAATATTCACAATACCAACTATAATGCTTATTTTGTCATATAGTTCTCTTTACAAAGAATGTTATTCTCAAATTCTCTGTCCTGCAAATTACAACTTGCCTATCAAACTTCAGCTTAAGTATCACCTTCTTTGGCATGATTTCCTTGACTACTTCAGTTTGAGTGAGATGACCCTATTTTCTCTCCTGTAAATTCCCATATAAAAGTCTTTATTCTCATAATTTTTTTTCACTTGCCTTTTTTTTCTTTATTTTATGAACTCAAGTTCTTTCAAATTTTGTATTTGGTAATTTTTTGAGATTTGGGTTTCGACATATTCACAGAAGAGTTCTATTTCTTAGCTTCAAATCTATGCTAAAGTATCTGGATTGTTGTGATTTGGGGAGGTAGCTGCATCATCTATTTAAAGGCAGATTTTTGTAACTACATTGTTGTCAAATGCTAATATTTTAGAAATTACTAAGTTGCCCATATGTTTTCTTTTTCTAAAGTATTTATTTTAATAACATAAAGTGTTATATTAGTCTCAGGTGTACAATATCCCATATGTTTTCAATTTCTCACCTCCTTCATGTCTTCATAGAAAAGAAATAGCACTTGTGGATTATTTCTCTTTTCCCACCAAGATTTTGCATGTTTATACCAGGAGCCATATGGCACTAAAGTTAGAGATAAAAACAATGTAAGAGCATAGTATCATCTTTATACAGCTTGAAAATGATATTCAAACAACAGTAGCAACAAATAGATATAAGTGAATTATCATGGAATGAAAACAAGAGATCAGTCACACATCTTTTTTTTGAAGATTTTATTTATTTATTTGAGAAAGAGAGGGAGAGTGAGCACTATAGAGAGAGAAAGAGAGAGCGCCAGCGGGAGGAGAGCCTGAGGGAAAGGGAGAAGCAGGCTCCCCACTGAGCAGGGAGGTGATGGAGGACTGGGTCTTTAGGACCCTGAGATCATGACCTGAGCTGAAGGCAGATGCTTAACCAACTGAGCCACTCAGGTGCCCCATTGTCACACATCTTAAGCAAATTTCTCTGCAGCAAGAGAGGCAAAGTATGTTGAGTAATTTGTGTACAGAAACATATTCTAAACTTTCATCATTATGACATGGTTAATGACACAGAAAAAGTAAAGGAAATTCCCCTTCCACTAACTTGATTCAGAGCTTATGAGAATTTTTGAGGGGTGTGTGTGTATGTGTGTGTAAAATCAAGCTGTCAGTGAGGAGAGTAGAGTGGGAACTATTAATGATCTTGTAATCTGAATTCAGTCTAGGTCTCAAATTTACCATTTACAAACTGTCTTTGGCAATTAAAACCAGTAATTATATAATTTCTTATTACACTACTTGCAGTTTATATAGCAGGGGTGATTTGTTAGGGAGCCTTAGTGCTATTCTCATTTCAAAAAAGTTAGAAGATTTTCAAGATGATATGATAAGACATGCTGAAATGCTGTCTCTGTCTAACTCTCTCTTCCCTTATCGTGTCTCATGCTTATCTCAATGTTTTACCCAATAAAAAGCTGACAGAATAATATAATGTTGTCTGAGTCAAAGTATTCTGCTTTGCGTTGTCATTGACTACCATTTCTGTTCTTTGACTCTATTTACAATTGCTCCTAAAAGAAAAAGGTCACACAATGATATTTATAGTGCCTCATTCATCCGTTTTGCAGAAGAGTAATACTGTCTTTCTCCGCCTTACAATGGGGATTTTGATGATCTTGTGTCATTTGTTTAATTCATGACGCTTTAGCATAATTTTTTCCCAAAATGTAACAAACATAAAATATATGTGTTCTAGTTTTATTAAGCCAATATTATCTTCTATGAATATAAAGTTGATATTTTATTATTATTATTGCAGTTATGATTACAGGATCAGGATGGCCTTCTTTAGATAATACTGGACTCTGCTGAACTCTTTCTTCTACAACTTTAGATAGTTGCTGTAGTCTGAAGTTAAAGAAAAAGGTAAAATTTCCCAGAATTTCAGCTCAAGTAACCCTTGTATGGTTCCGAGAAATCTAGCTGAAACATTCAGACTGTACCCTGGTGGAAAGAATAAGAACTTTGTAGATATTCAGACTTCTTTATGAATTCTGACCCCACAAAACACTTGAAATTTTCCTTGGAAACAAATGGGCATTCTCTCTTCTCTATTTCCTTGCCCTTTATTCAGTAGAATTGTAACACTGTGAAATACTTTTCTAATAAAAAGAAATGAGAGAAAATTAGACACTGAATCTCAGTCGTAGAGCAGAAAATCTGTTACAGCCGACCTCCAAACACACTTTTATATATTTATTTTTAGGCACTGAACTGGAATGTCCAAATTCTGCAATTTGCTACCCACATCTGGAAACCCTATGCTTGCTTCAGAGTTCAGAATCTTCTGGAATTTCTGTGTTTTATTTAAGGATCAGAGAAGATAACAGACCATAACAAGACAACAAAAATTTTTGCTCAGAGATGTCATTTGTCTTGTATTATTTACCTTTAAGGAGTTGAGAGTAAAGAAGCTCCTCTTACCTTGTCCTTCCATGAATTTTTCCACAAACTCTTGGAAAGATCCAGGATCTGGATGAGCAGCTACCATTCGAAAGAAATGATAATAAGAAACAGCCACATCTTTGGCATTCCGGCAAAGATAGATCATCTAAAAAGGTGAGATTATATATGAAATCATTTTAATTTTTTTCAAACATAGTCTATCAAGATGTAAAAAGAAAACATTTATGTTTTCAACTACAAATATAATACACATTCATTGTAGAAAGTGGATAAAATATATGAAATTATATAGAAGAAAAATTCTTCAGTAACCTAAAATGATAGCATCTTGTGTACAGTTGTTCAGGGCTAGTTCTCACCTTACATTTTTCATGCCATTTTCACATATAATAACTTATTTTAATGTCACAAATATCATTCAATCTTAGAGAGAAAACTTGTTTACTAAGGGTTTACTTAAATTCACACTTATCTCAGTAAAAATATAATCTTCACCAATATTTTTGAGTTTCCATATTACATATAGAAGAAGCACCAATCAGACATAGCAATCAGGAAGCCTTGTTTTCATTGTCAGTCTGGCACTAAAAAGTTCTATCATCTTGTGCAAAGCACCAATTTTGGTTCTAAATTTTCTATCCAATAGAAATTTTCCATCCAATAGAAATCCAATTTTCTCTCCAATAAACAAGTGAGTTGGGATCTTTAGTCAGTCTGCAGAAGTAAACTCCAATATCCTGTGGTCTCCACTCTCTCCCTTGGCCATCTGAGTTAGGGAAGGCTACTCATGACTCTACACTGTTTACTGGTTTTCATTTGGCTCACAAGCCTGTCTTAACTTCGCAGGTTTCTACACTTTCAAACTGTTTTAAAGAAATCTTCTAGTTTACTTTGAGAAATATGGTTCTTCACTATCACTTTCTCTTAAATAAATAAATAAAATCTCTAAAAAAAATATGGTTCTCATTCTGAAGGTCCTGCTAGAGAAACTTCCAATTACTGCCCCCCCCCCAAAAGTGAGTTTTCTTTTCTTATCAAAGCTATCATTAACCATATTGAACTTTTTCAACCTAACTAAATACTCTTCCTACTTCTTTTTGCCTATTAGCTGAATGGAACTCTTTGCCACTATATCCATGAATTCCCTTCAGAATTTTCATCCCTTGCATTTCTTCAGGCTGTTCCCTCTGTCTTGAATATTCTCTACATCTCAAAATGCTGTCCATATTTAAAGCTTGGCTCCAGGTTTCTATGAAACTTTTTATTTTCCCAGATGGGGATAAGGTGTGAACAAAAGCTATCCTTCTTCCCCTAAACTCCCATTAGTTTATTTTATCTCCATTTTAGCAGATATTACTCTATACCTCAAACATTTTACCCCACATGCTCTTCCTGCCTTCGAGGAAAAGCTAGTACTGCAGCTCTCTCAAGTCAAAATTTCTAGTTGACATACAATTCACTTGGGATCATAATCCATTTTAAAAATCCTACACTTGAGGGGCGCCTGGGTGGCTCAGTGGGTTAAAGCCTCTGCCTTTGGCTCGGGTCATGATCTCAGGGTCCTGGGATCGAGCCCCGCATCGGGCTCTCTGTTTCGCGGGGAGCCTGCTTCCTCCTCTCTCTCTGCCTGCCTCTCTGCCTACTTGTGATTTCTCTCTGTCAAATAAATAAAAAATCTTTAAAAAAAAAAATCCTACACTTGAAAAACCCCTGTTCCTGTGATTCTCAGTTCATACCTCTAGAAAGCTAAAGCCCTTCTATGCTTGTGGTCATTCCCTGGCTTTAACTGAAAATGTGAACATCGGCCTCATAGTATTATTCTCCATTCCTAATCTTGTCCTCATCCAGCATAATGTTAGTATCTGTATGCATGAACCATTTGATTCTCTAGCTTCTTCTATTCATTCATTGTTGCTTTTATTTTATTTCAGCCAACCACTTTTATGTCCAAATCATGAATCTTGTTAGCACTCTAAAGGTTTCACTTCGGAAGCCTTATTCCAGAGCATCATGTTTTCTTTCAAGACAGTCTTACTCTTCCCGTCTTCCTTATCAGTTATTCCCAATATACTTGTCCAGCAACAATTCCAAAGCTTCACATTTATTGGCCTCAATTGTTTCTCTTATTTGTTTGATCCCTTTCCCCCCACTTTTTAAAAATCACTTACAGCTTCTGGCTCACCACTCCAAATACATTTTTACTAGTACTTTCAATCCATATATCTTTCTGTCCCCCAGTGAATTATCCCAGAAATACTCAGGAAATGAATCCATCTAACTGTTTGATGTATCCCTAAGATAAGCAGTTTTGTGAAGGTTGAACAGTTTAGTGAAGACTAAGACTATTGTAAATGTTTCTGTTTTCATTTGAGAAGTGAAGGGGATACAACCCATTCTCCAAAGGAAAAAAGTGACTTGGTCAAATCTCTTGAAAAAGTGGTGATTACACATCTCCTGCCAAATATATAAATAGCATTAGCTAATGAGAGAATATTTATGTATGGAATGATGTCAGCAGGATGTATTGTTCAAGTTAAAAAAACAAACAAAAAATAGAATCTTCAGAATTTTAGACCATGGATCTCCAGAAAAATATCAAATACGCCAGGTAACATTAGAGTACAAAATAAAAATGTTTCGTGACAATGATAAACCCCCTATTTTGTTATTAAGACTACATATAGTACTTTAATATCTCAAATGTGTAGCATACATGGGTCATAGTGTATCCTAAGAAAAAGCTTAAAAGGTCTTGAGAAACAGCATGAATGATCCAAGACTTAATGTTTTAGGGTTTCATGTATCATTCTTTGTGAAAAGCAAAACTGATCATGTGAATCATCAATTTAAAATGTCTGTAACTTGTTACCATTAAATAAAGTCCAGACTTTTCAACTTAGCTTCAGTGTCTGCTGTGATCAAACCCTAGCTTACCTCCCTTCATTTATTCAGCTAATGTGTACACTCAAACTTGCAGCTAAACTGAACTTGTTTCAGATCCCCAGTGGAGTTGCCTCTGGGATTGTACAGACTAACTCTTACACATCTTTTAAACATCATCTGAGATGTTACTTGCTCTTAGTTACCTCCCCCACCTTCATTGTCTGAGTTAGAATTCTTCTCTTACTTGACTTATGGCCCTTTCTTCATTGTCTGCTTATTTGCCCCGTCCCACACTGGACCATGTGATCGTGAAGACAAGGATTGCATGGGTCTTATTAATCTTTATATTGTTGGCACATGATAGGCACTCAGTAAATAATTACTATATGATATTGTCTGGTTTATCTTTCTCTAGTTCACTTCCACACCTCATGGCGCCAAGCACAATAGTTTGCAAAAAGGAATACATTCAGCGTCATTGGTAATAATGACAAATATAGGGGCGCCTGGGTGGCTCAGCCAGTTAAGTGTCTGCATTTAGCTCAGGTCCTGATCTCAGGGTCCTAGGATCAAGCCCCGCATAGGGCTCCCAGCTAGTCTGCTTCTCCCTCTGCCCCTCCCACTGCTTGTGGGCGCTCGCACTCTCCCTCTCAAATTAGTAAATAAAATCTTAAAAAAAAAAAGCAACAAATATAAAAGTAGTTACCATTTAGTAAATGTTTACAATATACTAGATACTGTGTTAAACATATAACAAGCATTATTTTTATTTAATCCTTATAATAACTCCATGAGGAAGATTGTATTTTTATCCTTCTCTTACAGATAAGGAAGCTGTGGCTTGGAGTTTACTTGTTTTTTTCCAAATCACCTCGAAAGTTGGAGTTGAAAGCTAGACTCTGACTATATTGACCTTAATACACATTTAATTTATTAAATGTCCATAGATTCCAAAAAAGAACAAATAAACAAATGTGAAGTTTTAAGAATATTTGATTCTGCTTACCTTACAGTTCTTTTCCCAAAATGAGGCTGGAAGAAGTTCAGCTGGCAGATGAGTCTTCACTATTCTAGGAGATGCCATCTGTTTTAATTGTTTTACTCCTGATTTTTAAAAAGTTAAAGGTTATATAACTTTAAAAAATTAGAAATATTTATATGAATTTTATAGACATTTAAAAAATAAAAGTAACCTTAAGATTCTAAGTATATTCATAATAATAATAGTACATACCATGACAGAAGTTTAGGTAGAGGAAATTATAAAGAAAAAATAAGATAAAGTAAAATTTCACCATTTGGAAAAAATCTTTATTAACACTTTAGTAAGATATTAACACAATCATTATCAACATTCTGCGTTGAACATGTACTTGAACTGCACAGGTCCACTTATATATGGATTTTTTACAGTGTTATAAATATAAAATTTATATTTATACATTTTATATAAATATATATTTATGCAAATAAATATTTATGCAAGTAAAATCTTTTTAAAAATAAGAGAAATTATATATATAGTACTATAAAATTTATATAAATATATATTTATTTGCATAAATATTACTATATATAATTTATATATATTTATGCAAATAAATATAATTTATATATATTTATGCAAATAAATATATATTTATATAAATTTTATATAAATTTTATAGTACTATATATATAATTTCTCTTATTTTAAAAAGATTTTACTTATTTTATTTGCGAGAAATAGCACAAACAGGAGGAGCCGCAGACAGAGGGAGAGGGAGAAGAAGACTCCCCACTGAGCAGGGAGACTGCCTTGGGGCTCAATCCCAGGAATCTGAGCTGAAGCAGACATTTAACCAACTGAGCCACCCAGGCCCCTCTTATAATTTTCTTAATAACATTGGCTTTCCTCCAGCTTACTTTATTGTAAGAGTATAGTATGTAATACATATATAACATACAAAATATGTGTTAACAACTGTTTATGTTATTGGTAATGCTTCCAATATAATAGTACACTATTAGTAGCTAAATTTGGGTGGAGTCAGAAGTTATATGCAGATTTTTTATTGTGTGAGGGGTGATCATCCCTAACCCCACGATTGTTCAGGGGTCAACTGTGGATCCATATGATTAGACTCAGAGCCATCTAAATACCACACATGCAGATGGAATTTTTAATACCTCCTAATTGATTTTTTTCCTCAATATATTATACTGAAACTGCAATGTGAAGAAACATAAGACATCCTAAAATTTTTAATTATATCATAGAGTTATTATGTCACTTTATTCTTTCATTGATCAATAGATTGTTTCTAATTTTTCACAATATTAAAAGAATCTGTGATGAATATCCTTTTAGATATATTCTTGAAAATTTATGGATATTTTTCTAGTTTTTAATGTATTATCACATTCAGCCCATATAGGGACAAATGCTTAAATATTACTAGGCTCTCATATGAAGACATATAAGAGCTATCCTTATTCAATCTATTTCAGTCTAATGTTACAATGTAAACTCTGTCAAGATTTAAATTTAAATTTACATGCTTTTCATGGAGAAGACATAATACTAATTGCCACTTTTGTTTACAGTCTCTTTCCTTGCACAGTCTATATCCACACTTTAGAATATATGTACATAGTTTTTAAAATCTAAACTTAAAAAATCTACTTAAACATTACCATTCATTAACTCTTCTTTTCTGCATTCCAAATAGGGTATTCTATTAAAAATGACATCTTCTTTGCATTTTTCCACATCGCCCTCTTTGTAGATCATGTACACAATTTCACTAACCCAGGTTGTACCTGTAAAAATTAGACAAATCTCAGTGTTTCACCGACCATTCAGGTTGACAATGCAAGTAGTGTATTTATAGCTAGATAAAGCAGAAGTGTCCTAATGCAATATAATTTGAAAGATATCAGAATAACTTTAGAACTCAAGAAATTTCTTCTCATACTTAATCTTACAAGACCTCAAAATAACCTCAATAAATGAAGATGAATATTGTAGTAAGACACACCTATGGTAGGAGTCCAAATTTGTCCACAGTGAATTGGGACATTGTGCAAGCTGGTAACAGTTTGGGATTTAAATTTTTACATCTAAAAAGTTAGGAGGCTTGAATTATTGAATTCTTACTACATAGAAAGCATTGCATTTAATTAGACATTATCAGGAAAAACAAAGAGGAATAAGATACAGTTCCTGGCATCTAGGACACATTAACAATAAATATATTTAAGCTGACTAAAGTCGTACAAGTGAAAATAATGCACAATTGAATCCTGAGTTTAATTTAAAGAAAGAAAAGATGAGTATTCAAGTAGGGAGGAGGAAAGCTTTCAGGTAAGTCTTGAAGAATGGACTAAACACAGATGGGCAAGAAAGAACTGAACAAGTTGGAGAAGCCAGAGAGCAAGCATGTCCTCAGAGGCTCCCACATCATGTACGTGTTATTCCTGCAGCCTGGAACAATCTTCTAGGAGCTAAATCTCTCACATCTTTGTTTTGTTTACCCTAAGAAGCCTCTGAAGTGCCCCAAGCAAAGCACTCCTGCTATATGTTCTCACAATACCCTAATGGACCTCCTTCACCCACATTTTCATACTGTATCATATCTGCCACTTCATTTATTTATATTCCCCTCTGGGTTATTTATTTATATTCCCCTCTGGGTTATTTATTTATATTCCCCTCTGGATTATACACACTAAGAAGGCAGAGATTAAATGTGTTTTATTCACCATTGTATCTCCAGTGGCTAATACCACCCTTGACACATAGCAGAAACTCAATAAAAATTTGCTAAATGAACAACTGAAAAAACAGAAAAGGGAAAAACATGCAAAGAAATGGTGAAGAGGCAGGTCAATGAGAATAGAGGGTTTGTACTTCGGGGGAGATAATGTGCATAGGAAGGTGTCATTCATTCATTCATTCATTCATTCTTTTCAACACATGTATATCGAGAATACGCTGGTCATTATGTTAAATGTCAGGAATACACAGTTAAGTAAGATGTAGTCACTATGCTAGTGTTTCATGTGTTATGGAGACTTATACTCCAAAGACATGTATTTTGAGCACAGGATTTGAACTATCTTTTTGGTCTATTAGATATCTACAAATAGTGCATGAAAATAAATTGTTAATTTTGAAAAAAAGAAAAAAAAAGTAAAGAGACTTGAATAAAAGATGATGCACTCAAGCATGCTTCAACCACAGACTTTACTGTTAACTTCTGATGCCTCAAGCTGAGCCCCAGTACAGAGGAAACAGAAAAAAATAGACTTGATCCTTGCCTCCTAGTGCTCAAAGTCATGTTTAAGAGTTGGAAACAGTGCACAATAATTACAACACTTCTTTTTTCTTTTTTTTTTTTAAAGATTTTATTTATTTGACAGAGAGAGATCACAAGTGGACAGAGAGGCAGGCAGAGAGAGAGAGAGAGAGGGAAGCAGGCTCCCTGCTGAGCAGAGAGCCCGATGTGGGACTCGATCCCAGGACCCTGAGATCATGACCTGAGCCGAAAGCAGAGGCTTAACCCACTGAGCCACCCAGGTGCCCCAAAACTTCTTTTTTTTCTTGAGATGCTATAATACACGTGGGCACAGGAATTTCAAGGACTACAAAGGAAGACTATTTAACTCAGCGTGCTTCTGCTGCTGTGATGGATCAACAAGAAATGCCTTCAAGACAACATGAGAATTGAACTTAGACTTAACACATTACTGGCATTAGTTCACCAGTTTTGTGAGAAAAGGATTCTAGCAGGCAGAACCATCTCCCCCCCCCCCCCCCCCACCAAGATCAGATACTTAAGAATAGCACAGTAATGAGGAAAAGAATTGGAAATACATTATAAAGCCTGAATGGAAGAAGAAATGGGTGGGAAGGAAGCTGCAGAAGCGAGCAGATGGCAAGTGTAACATGCCTTGGAGTTCATATTAGAGTTTGCGTTTTTTAGAAGTTCTGGAAAGGCAATGATACACATTAAGCAAGAGAGCAAGATTATGAGGACTCTGTTTTGGAAGAATTCCTTCAGTAAGATAACAATATATTTAACACATATATAAGTGTTAAATGTAACAACCAAATAGAGAAGTCTCGATCGGATCTAATTTCTAAAGATCTATGGTTGTGAGATTCCAGAACTATAATTAAGTTGTGCTAATCTCAGGAAAAAAAATATGTTACTTAAAAAAGGAGTTTGGGGGCAAACTTAAGGAGAGCTAGTTAGCTGAAAAAGTAATTTTTTAAAAGTCTGGAAAAAATTGTCCTTTGTTTATACAAAATGACAATATGGTTCTATATTCATGCATTTATATTAATAATTTTCTAAAGGTACATGGAATCTGTGCTGCTCAAGTCACAGGTACAGAATGTGCTCTTAGAACAGAGCTATAATATCCACTTTTTCTGTGTCTGTACTAAAACTACTATGTCTGTCTTTAATATGAAGAATCAGTGTGGAAGAAGCGAACAGCTTAATATTCACCATTCAAGGTGGGTTTGTCATTTCTAGATGAAAAGAGAACAGCACTGAGGTAATAAGGAAACTTACCAGATTTGGGATACGTGGCAATGACAATGTCATCTGGTCTTGCCTGGAATGTATCCACATCATCCCAATATTCTATAAAGTCTTTATACATTAGAATTCCGTGGACTGTGCCAAAGTATGCATCATAGTCAGATTTGGAAGAATCCATCCTAAGGGTCGTGCCCTGAAAGAAAAATGTATATTTTCCACTTATATGTACTTTAAAATGTTTTAAAATTAATAATAGCTCTGTACATTGAGGTTCTCTTGGGTTTCTAGCATTTCTTAGCTATTGAGTATATAGAGTAAAGGCATGTTTAAGAAGTATATAACATAGTCTTGGTGCTTTAAGAATCTCTAATCTCATTCAGAAGGTAAGTCTAACAATATAAAAGAGTGAGAAAATACAAGGCACTATAAACTGTTTAAAATAACATAAAAAATAGGAGCACCTGGGTGGCTCAGTCTGTTAAGTGTCTGACTCTTGGTTTCAGTTCAGGTTATGATACTGGGATCATTGGAACAAGCCCCATATTGTGCTCTGCATGAAATACAGAGTCTGCTTGGGATTCTCCCTCCCTCTACCCCTCTCCTCCCCAGTCTCTCTCTCTCTCTTAAATAAATAAATAAATCCACCCCCCCCCCAAATAAACCTATGTAAAAAATAATGTGAAGTGCTTGTATTATGTTACTTTTTTTAAGGATTTTAAAATCTGAGCCACCCAGGCACCCATGGATAATCTCTAAGATTTTTAACAATTGTATTGTACTCTCTTCCATGGACCTAAAAAAACACCACTAGGGGCACCTGGGTAGTTCATTCTGTTAAGTGTCTGCCTTCCACTCAGGTCATGATCCTAGGGTCCTGGGATCCAGCCTGTATGAGGCTGCCTGCTCAGCAGAGAGCCTGCTTCTCCCTCTCCTTCTATCCCTTCCCCTACTCATGCTCTCTCTCTCTCTCTAACAAATAAATAAAATCTTTTTAAAAATTTGTATTATATTTATGTATAGCAAATTCCATGATGAATAAAAACAGAGCCTTCCATTTCCTTGTCAAAATTGATGGAGTATATGAAAAGACTAAGAGATTTAAAAATACAACAGTATTCTGGCAAATAACCATGGTGATTAATCATGTATACATCAAATAACATGAAAAGATGGATGGTCACATTTGATAGCCACTGCACGATCTCAAAGTCATAGGCTTCCTTAGTTCTTGAATGTTTCATTTAATGAAAAAATTCAAATGCTTGATAAGTGTATTTAAAAGATGAAATTAATGACACTGTAATGGATATACCTAAAACATGGGTTCTTGAGGATATAATAGATTCCTCTGGGATCTCTCACATTACCTTCACCTTTCTTTCTCATTTGATCAATAAAGTAGTACATATTCCCATTGAATGACTTGTCTGAAACATATAAAGTTAAACAAGATGGTTATAACTGATAATTCATTTCCTGATCCCATGACAACTCATTTGATGTTCAGCATTGGTCATAGGATTTTTAATTAAGCAAACTTTCCTTCATTGACTTTCAACTTCTTCCACTATCTTTCCTTTTCCATTCTGAGTTTGTGATATAACATCTCAACAAATTTAGTCCTTTGATATTAGCCTCTTTAGATCTCCTTTTTATTCATCTGTGTGAACCAGATTAGTGCACATGTGCCATGATGACTGCTCTGTGATGTGAAGCCTTCTTGAGCACATCACCTCCCTACATTCTTTCCCTTTGTTTAACCACACCCTTAAGTACACCCTCAAGGCAAAATGTCTTTGGTCTGCTCTGGAGATAAGACTATGACACACACTTATTCTTTAAAAAAATTTTTTTTCTTAATTTAAATTTTAGGTTGTTAACATATAGTGCAATATTTGTTTCTGGAGTAGAACTCAGTGATTCATTACTTATGCACAACACCCAGGGCTGTTCATAACAGGTGCACTCCTAATACCTATTACCCATCTAACCCATCCATCAACCCTCATTTTCCTCTCTGTTGTTAAAAGTCTCTTATGACTTATATCTTTCTCTCCTTTTTTTCTTTTCCCCCGTCCCATATGTTCATCAGTTTTCTTTCTTAAATTCCACATGTGAGTGAGATCATATAGTATTTATCTTTCTCTGACTTATTTCACTTAATATTATACTCTTTAGCTCCATCCATATTGTTGCAAATGGCAAGATTTCATTCTTTTTGATACTGCTATTTGAAATTGTATGATCTTGGCAAATTACTTCAGGTCAGCTATGCTCCATTTTCTCATCTACAAATTAAGGATGATAATAATGATAATACTTACCAGAAACACTGAATGGAAATTATAAATTCCCATTATAAATTCTTAATAACTATGAGCTTATATTGTTATTATACCAAATCCATATGATACTATGGAGGAGTGTAGAGAGCAAGATGGAGTCTCTCATGTCAAGCAGGGGCTGTGTCAAGCAATGATGCAAGCCGTTAAGTTCTGCATCTTGGAGATATGCCAGGGCCAGCATTGGTTGACATCCCACAAATGATAACAAGCAGAACCAGAAGAGGTCTTCTGGGCCCCCAAACCAATTATACCTCTTTAAAAAGGGGAAAATGTTGGCAGCAAACTGTCAGAATCTTCAGAGGTGATCTCTTGATCTCTCTATGTCTGACCACTTTAAAAAGGCAGCCACCACCCAAGGTTCTGCCCACTTGCTCTCTGAACAGAACCAAGACCCTCCATTGTTTGAATATGATAAGTAGTAAGTGCAGAGAACTGACCCAGACTGGATCAAGGCCTTAACTCAACTGCACATCCACAAACTGACTTCAGGTTGGTTCATTAACTTCATACAACCCTTCTGTTGTTGTTGTTTGTTTGTTTTTGTTTTTATTTTTTTTAAGAGAGAGAGAGAGAAAGAGAGAGAAACTACGACTGGGGTAGGGGACTACAGAGGCAGAGGGAGAGAGAAAATCCCAAGCAGACTCCATGCTCGGTGAGGAGCCCGACACAGGACTCAATCTCACAACCCTGAAATCATGACCTGAGCTGAAATCAAGAGTTGGACACTCAACCAACTGAACCACCCAGGTGTTATCTTGTTTGTTGTGCGGCTTGTCTTATGTTCTGCTCTATGTGCTGTGTAAAAAGCCACATTAATCTCATGGTGAAATGTCATTGAGTTTGAAATCCTGAAACTGTTTTATAATTATGACTAACTTTGCTTTTTGACTGAATAAAGCTGACATAATGTGTCACCTTCATAGCATGCTCATGATAAGGAGCCAGACACTTTGGACACTCTCAATTAGAAATAGTACACATAACATGGTAACATCTCCTCTAAAAGCAGAGGAAATATATGTTGTTAAAATTCCCAAGAATAAGGGCACCTGGGTGGCTCAGTCATTAAGCATCTGCCTTCAGCTCAGGTCATGATCCCAGAGTCCTAAGATTGAGACCCGCATCGGGCTCCAGCCCTGCATGGGGCTCCCTGCTTGGCAGGAAGCCTTCCTCTCCCTCTCCCACCACCCCCTGCTTGTGTTGCCTCTCTCGCTGTGTCTCTGTCTGCCAAATAAATAAATAAAATCTTTTTAAAAATTCCCAAGACTATATTTCATAAATACAAAGTTACCTGGAGAAACTGATAATCAATAACCTGTTTTCTCACTGGAGAGGGTAAAATCTGTAAATATCTAATATGATTTTTACAACAAATGACTTCTATTTGTTTGCTTCTCTTAAGTTCTTTGGGACAACCCAATATATTTATTTCATTTGGCCTCAGATTACACACCAGAAGACAGACACAATGGAAGAGAGTTTTTCATTTGTTTTTGACTAAAGAATGGCTTAGCATGTGTTTTGGAAACACAGAACAACACTAGGCCTGCATGTTGTTACTAAAACTTAAAAAAATCCCAGTCCCTGAGAGCAGACTCAACTCTTTGAAGACCTCCCTCTCAGGTAGGTTAGATGTCATCTCACCAAAATTATGAGATTTTGATGAAAAATTAGTCTTGTTAATAAATCAGTTTGTTGGGAGCCTGGGTGGCTCAGTTGGTTAAGCGTCTGCCTTAGGTTTAGGTCATGATCTTAGGGTCCTGGGATGGAGTCCTGCATCCAGTTTCCTGCTCAGAGAGGAGTATCCTTCTCCTTCTCCCTCTCCCTCTCCCTCTACCCCTCCCCCCTGCTCAAGGTCTCTCTCTCTCTTTCTCAAATAAATTTTTAAAAATCTATAAAAATAAAATGAATATAATAAAATAATAAAATAAATCATCTTGTTCCCTAAACCTTTCTTGCTCTCAGAAACAGAAATCTTTCACTAGAAGAAATGTGTATAACAGATGTTACTTGCCCAGCCTATTGATTTGTTTATTCATGTGAACAACTTTCTTGGTGTTCTGCCAAGTTTGCAAATATTGGCTTACAGTCAACTGGGAGTAGCCGATTTTATCATTCAGCCGTTGGCTGGCTTCTGCTTACCCCTTCATGGTCAATTTTTTTCTCAGAGTTAAGCTGAATGGCATATAATAAAATGTCTTTTCTTATTAACTTCTCTTAGTAAGTTATCTCATATCACAATGTATGGACTCACCCTTTAGCTACTCTCTTCTTTCTCAAAAGATGTGTTCCAGTTAGAAATTGTCAATTTTATTTTCTGAGTATAAAGGTTACTGTTGTCTAGAAACACCAATCAACAAAAATCATTAGAACTGTGCTTTACAAATTCAATAGAATTCAGAAAGAATTTTTCTTTTTCCTCTTTATTTCTTTCTCCTTTTCTCTATTTTCCCCTCCTCTATCCCCTAATCTGCCTCTCATCCAGCAGCTATTATGTGTGTGGGCACCTACCTCGTTTCCAGATGCAGTGTTAAGGGTCGGAGACACAAGGTGAGTGCAGATGAATAGAGCTCACTTAGTCCCCACCATCTTCTACTTACTCAGATTTGGGGGAAATTGTTGAACGCAGTGAACATCCAGTCTCCATACTATGTCACAAAGCAGATGTTCAAAAATACTTCTTAAATTTAATTGCCAAATTGAATCTCTCTGCTCTCTCTCATTTCTATTAAGGACTCCTAGATAAAATAGCTACTATTTTGCCAATAATCTACGTCTATGATGGGCCAAGGACTTGGATTTATGCTATATTCTCATTTAAAAGTAACAGTAATATACATAAAGGCCCATGGTGGCATTCAACTACTTCTGTCACACTTCACAGAACTGATCACCACACTAGAAGTCAGTCTCCACTTTAACTGTTTCTACCCTGCTTGAAATGGAGGACATGTCCAGCATGCAGAACTTGCAGAGTCGCTATGATACCATAGTTTTATGTTAAAACTCTTTAAACACCAAAGCACTATATAATGCAAGATTTATTTTTAGTGACAAATGATTTAAAAAGGCTTCGAAATGTTTTATATTATTAAGTAACTGAAGTATTAATACTTTATTCTCTCTGTGTTTCTTTTTCTAACAGCTTTGTGATGTATACTTTGCATCTAAATTTTCTACATCTAAAAATCTAAATATTAACATCAGTAATAATAGTAAAAATACAACCTGTCCTGATGATCCTGGGAAAAAAACTGGGTGATCCAATTTAGTTTTCTTCCATCTCCACTCAGGTTTTAGGCTTCCTAAAAAGATGAGAACCACTTAAGCATTTGAAATATTTCTGGTGAGCTTTTATTCCCAATGCCAGAGAGGGAGGCGGAGATTAATTTGTGGGGCTTGGTTTTCTAGCGTCTGTGATGCAACAAGGATCAGAAATACATATACATACCTGCTGATGGATTTAACCACAGAGTCATGCTCATTCATACAGGGATGTGAAAAGCCTCTGCTGTTAGTTTTCATTCTTGGCTCATAATCAAATTCCTAAATTTGCCAATAGCAATCAGTGGGTTGGGGAGAGGGAGGGAGGGGAAGTGAAGAGGAAATGAGGGAGAAGGGGTTTGGAGCAAAATATATGCTAGGAAGGGGAAGTTCTTTATTTATTCACTGATGAATAATAAAATCTGATTGACCTTCAAAAGAATAAACTTCTTGGGGGAGTGAGAGGAGAAAAGAAAAGGAAGGAAAAACCAGGAGGTCAGTGAGGACCCTGGATCAGTAGACATAGCTCAGTTTCCTGAGGGATGTCAAAGAAGGCTTTGTAGTACCTGGTTGTGTCCTAACAAGTCAATTGGAAAACACCTCGTACTTTCAACTCTGAAGCGGACCTGAAAATCAAAAACAGATGACAGCTAAAGAAAGAATGTAGATAGACATCACTCACCTTTGAATTATTATTTAAAAAATCTCACTGCTCTCTGCACCCAGTCACATGCGTAACAGGATAGTGTGGTATTTCCATGTGATGTTAACCTTTGATGCCAATGTAATTTAGATAAGAGAATATGAAAAACAAAACCCTAAAGATTTGTAGAGCCCAAGAATCCTTCACCTTTCTTCTTTTCAGGCCTCTGCACCTGCTGAGGAAATTTTCCCTTGCTCTCACCCCCTGCCCTAATCAATACCTCTAACCCAGTTAGTTCCAAATCTCATTAGTTCTTATTTGTCTCTTGATTATAATGAGAAGACACTTTCTTTAAAAGGTTTGTTATGACCCTTGCAGAACTGAGCAACCCTCTAAGTGACCTCCAAACCCTATGCTACTCATTAATACTTAACCCATTATACTGTAATTAAAATTTACTTGTGTAGCTTTCTGATAGTACATAACTTAGAGAGAGGGTTTTTACTCTGTGATTAGCATGTTGCTGGCGTGAATGTATACTAACTGAATGAAAGTGGCTGGTGTGTTCGAGACAGCAGAAGTTAAAAAAAAAAAGTAATTGTTGGTTATAGAAGTTACTAATATCTAGCCCTACCAAAAGTAAAATAGAACAGTTGCGTGGTTTTTGAGAAATGAGGCTTCTCACAATACAAAATCAAGGTACAACAGGAGTAACAGAGGGTCAAATATAGATTTTATATTACTTGGTTTTCTGTGGTTGGTCATTTATATATTTCTATTTTTGAGTTAAATAAAATGTGTGTTAAAAGGATTTGATCATTATAAAATGTAATCATTAAACATACACATTTAATAGAGATGATAATTTTTAACCTTGTTGCATAGTTTAACCTTTAATTATTATTTTTTAATAATAAAGATCTGGGGGCGCCTGGGTGGCTCAGTCATTAAGCATCTGTCTTCGGCTCAGGTCATGGTCCCAGGGTCCTGGTATCCAGCCCCACATCGGGCTCCCTGCTCAGCAGGAAACCTGCTTCTCCTTCTCCCACTCCCCCTGCTTGTGTTCCCTCTCTCACTGTGTCTCTCTCTGTCAAATAAATAAATAAAATCTTAAAATAACAATAATAATAAGGATCTGTGAGACTTACTTTATTGTTTACCAATAATAATCTTTTATTCAAAAAGTCAGGATACAAATACAAGCTAACTTGAGCAGGTTTAACCTCAGGCCATCTCTCTCATCCTTCTCTTGTAGACAATTGGCCACAGGAACATTACAAATGCTTCAGAATCATGTGATGTTGGTAAACTCCAAAGGCAAAAACACATTGAGCCTTAGAAAATTTTATAAATGAGGATTCACTTGCTGATCAAAATAAAACAACAGGCAAAATGGCCACCTTAACTAACCTTTCATCCTTCTCTAGGAGCAATGAGTAGAGAACTTACAGAGTGATTGGGTCCTTGGTCTGAGCTTTCTTCCTTTGTACCCCCATGCTAGGAAAATAAAAACCCAGATAAGGACTTTTTTTTTTTTTAATACTTATCGTGACTAGTAGAATTTGGGTAGGATTGCCATCATACCACTGTCATTCTCTAAAACACTGAAAATAAATGCAAGATGGGCATATCTGTGTGACGAAGTGTTCCCAAGGCAACAGTTACTTATTCCCTCTGTGTGACTGTTAAATTTTTTCTTCTTCTGATCACACACTTATTTCTTTTGGGTCAAGTTTGAGGGTTTGTTTTATAAACAAGATTTCAGAATTAATTGTGAAAAGATAAGTGACTTTTTAAAAAACTATTATTGTTAATAGACTATTTTTTAGAATAGCTTTGGGTTTACAAAGAAATTGAGCAGATAATACAGAAAGGTCTGATATAGCTCTTCTCCCCTGTACAGTTTTCCCTAGTTATTAACATCTTGGATTAGTGTGGTACATTTGTTAGAATTGATGAACCAATATTGATACACTAATATTAAATAAAATCCATAGTTTACATGAAGATTTCCTGTTTGTTCAGTAAAGTTCTATGGGTGTTGACAAATGCATAATGTCATGGGCCCACCATTACCATATCATTTAGAATAGATTCAATCCCCTACAAACTCTTGGGCTCTACCAATCAATCCTGCCTCCCTTCCCCTGAACTTCTGACAACCACTGATCTTTTTACTGTCTCTATAATTTTGCCTTTTCCAGAATGTCACAGAGTTGTAATCTGTTACATAGCCTTTTCAGACTGGCTTCTTTGACTTAGCAATATACATTCAAGGTTCTTCCATGTCTTTTGGTGACTTGATAGCTAATTTCTTATTGTTGTTCATTATCATCCAATTGTCTGAATACCCCACAGTTTGTTTATCCCTTCACCTTGGCTGTTTCTAATTTTTGCAATTATGATCAAAGTTGTTACTAACATTAACATGTAGGGTTTTATGTGGACAGAAGTTTTTACCTCACTTGGGTAAATACTTACGAGTTCAACTGCTGGATTATATGATAAGACTACGTTTAGTTTTGTAAGGAAATGCCAAAATGGCTGTATTGTTTTGCATTCCCACCAGCAGTGAATAGAAATTACTATTGATCTGCATCGTCACCAGCATTAGTGTTCTCAGTTTAGGATATCGTGTGCTGTAGTTTCACAGATCTCAGTTTTCTCTAATGTCCTTGATCTATCTCCTCTTTTGTCTTCCTTTCTCCCCATTTATGAGACAGAAAGGCCAGGAAGGCTATATAGTTAAGTATTTCTCTTCTTCTGGGTTACATACATCTCTGGTAATGACTTTTTCCATAGTGAGTAAGACTTTTGTGGTGGAGAGGATGTTAGGTTTATTTGTAAATGGTTATCCCCAACCCCCTCCTTCTGCCTGAAGCTCAAGGAGATTTTTCTCCATTCATTCTTCACCACCGTAAGCTGGTGAGACTCCCAGAAGTCAAACTCAGGAAAACATGGAGCGGATTTAAGACTGAGCCTCCTGGAGTTTTTAAGTCTTAAACTCATCCACACTTAGCCTCTAGCATTTCACCAGTTTATATTTAACTCTTCCTACCAGTTTAAGGTTCCACAGGCTTCTACTCTCACTGTCTCTCATTCTATGTATTTGGAGCTGCAGTCTTCCCTGTGACCCCCTTTCTCTGATAAGTCTAAGAATTCTTGATTTCTAGTTCCATTTTTGTCATTGTTGCAAGGGACTATTTAAAGTTCATTATGTGTCATAGCTAAAACCAGGGGCACCATTATTATGCTCTGATACATTGATGAGCCTCACTTTTTAATATTCCATGAGCCTAAAAAAGTAAGTGACTACAATCTTCTCTCACTCAGGAAAAGTCCCTGGGAGTCTTATCACAAAAAAAAAGACATAAACACTAACTTTTTAGTAGCATGTAATTGAGCATATGGGTACTTTGAAATGCCAGATAACTTAATGTTGGGAATTTTGAAACAATTTACAAAACTCAACATCTTCATGTAATCTTAGCAAAAGAAAATCTTAAATTCATATTTTGTCAATGTCAAATTTATTAGTTTATCTTTTATTGTCATTCCTATCAGATACAGTTTTGTTATCCAATTGTTAGAGTTAGTTTTTTTTTTCTTTAAAAATTTTATTTATTCATTTGAGAGAGAGACAGAGCATGAGCAGGTGGTGTGGCAGAGGGAGAGGGAGAAGCCGACTACCCACTGGAGCCTGACCCAGGACAGATGCCAGCCACTCCCAGGACCCTGAGATCACGATTTAAGCCAAAGTCAGATGCTTAAACAACTGAGCCACCCAGGCGCCCCTAGAGTTAATTTTAAAGCTAAAAACAGGAGTTTGGACCTATAAATTACATTGTTGATTCCAAATTAGACTTATCCAGTTATTTTAACAAATTTATACATTAAAAAATAATAAACTACGTGTAAAATAGACTATAATTTGTATTCTTTTACTACCTGTACCATCACACAATTAGTGTATTATTGCTATATCTTTAAAAATGGCACTGATTATTTGGTAAAGACTTTTGAAAATCCTCACCACTTATTTTTTTGTGGGTCTATTTATTTTGTAGGGATTTCCTTCTCTTGAATTCAAGCAAGTATCAGCATGTGGGAAGATTGTGAAATCACATTTTTCTTTTATTATTTTGATTCCTTTTCTCCTCAGTGAGTCTAATCCTCAAAGACAATACCAATACATAGGTTTAAGTTCTTTTCATTTTAACCCTTCTCAAACTCTCCATTCCAAATCCTTGGCAAATTATAAAATATTTTGAAAAAATATTAATAGTATACTTATTTTGTAAGATTTTATTTATTTGTTTGACAGAGAGAGACCCAGTGAGGGAGGGAACACAGCAGGGGGAGTGGGAGAAGCAGGCTTCCCGCTGAGTGGGGAGCCTAATGGGGGTCTCGATCCCAGGACCCTGGGATCGTGACCTGAGCTGAAGGCAGATGCTTAACAACTGAGCCACCTAGGTGCCCCAGTATACTTATTTTGTAATAACTCAACCTTGTTATTGGTACCATGTTAACCTATAACTAGTTACTGGGCTCGCTTCTTATTCATCCATCTGTGCCAGCAACAATGATTGGAAGAGGAAAAAAATAGAAATATACCTACTATGTGCCATGCAGTTTATGTATAGTTACCTGTGATCCTGTGATCA